TCCCTCTGCCTTCTTCCATGGAATGACTAGCAGAAAAGCCCTCACCTGATGTGGGTCCCTCAACCTTTGACTTCCCAGGTTTTGAATGTGAGAAGTTAGGCTAGCTTCTTCTCTATAAATTACAGTCTTAGCTATTCTGTTATAGCAGCACAAAGCGAACTAACACAGAATCTGCATAAATCATTGAAAATTTTTTCTAAGGAAGATTTGTTTCTTCTCCCTCATTTATTTATACATACATAAAACTGAATATGTAGGAGAGGACTTCAAAAAGGTTTTAGAAAAATGGAATTAAAGTATAAATTTATTTCATTGCAAACAATTTTAAAATCTATGCATAGATTTTTCATAGCATGAACTTTTCATGATATTTTTGGAAGATTCATTGTTTATGTTTGTATGCCTGCACATGTGTATGCATCCAGTTAAGCTCCGATTTAACCCCAGCTTGGCATATTTAAAAGTTCAGTTGGAAAGCTGGTATGTTCTTTGATATAAGATTTTTCTCCATAAAATGTGCTAAAAATACTAATGTAGGTCCATGCAGATCAACTAAAACAAGTTCAAGATTGAAGAAATATTGACTTGAGACTTTGACTGTTTGGGCTCACTTGCCCAGTAGTACTTAGATAAATCTGTTCCTTTGTTGAAATTGATCTTTCTAGTCTGTGAATAGGGCTGGAAATAGCATCCATTCCAGGATATTACATAGGATAATAAAAACAAAAAATTTTGAGACCTATAAACTTTATGCAACTATATTATTTATTACTAATAATGTCAATCATATCTTTTCCCAATGATGAAAATATGGGCAGTGTTATGAAAGTGTCTTTTATACAGTTTTATTTTAACTTTATGTAAGCAGGTGGCCTTAATAGAATTTCATCTCAGTGTTTGCATGTTTTTATATCCTTCTGTTTTCCAAGTTGGTTGCCATTTGAGATGTGCTGAATACACTGTAGCTATAGTCCCTAGCCATATGTGACTGTTTAACTTAAAATTAATCAAAGCTAAATAAAATTTAAAAATCAGCTACTCAGTGACACTAAACACAATACGATTACAAGTAGTTGGTGGCTCTTGTGTTCAATAGTGCATCTACACTATTTCCATCATCATCACAGAAAGTTTAATGGAGAACACTGACATTTGAAGATCATTGCCCCTGCTCCTTTTAGCTCTGAATTCCTCTTCCTGCTGCCTAGCATGCATAGGACACTTTGTGCTATTCTCTTCTCTCTTCTTCAGAAGGTTTACAGGAACCCAATGAGCAAGTCCTCAGATGTATCTCTGTAAAATGTCAGATAGAGTCACATGGTAGTAGCAAATATAATACTTACTGTCAGCAGTTCCGTGAATTATTAATATGTTTTCTTCCTTTAAACCATGGATATTATGTAGCACACTAGATGCCTATAAAGAAAGGAAAAAAGGAAATGCAAGTATGTATACCTCTAGATGTATCTATTTCTGCAATCTGACTTACTTTTTTTGGAATAAAACTCATACTCTTTCTTTGCTATTTTGATATTGGTTACCTGGTAAGTACTTTCTTCCTTAGATGGCATACCAAGGTATCTTTCCGAGAAGGCTGAAGCTGTGACCCCCCAAAAAAAAAAAAAAAAAAAAGTTTAAGAGTAAACTAAACACCATTTTACTAGCATATTTCATTATCGAGTTTCTACATTTTACATTTAATAGTCATGCTCCAGTAAAATCGACTGAATTGGGGGAGGCGAGAAACAGCTCAAAAAAGATCTAATAACATCTGACAAATTAGCTCATCGGAACTCTTTCGCATTGGTATTTTGTTTGGTAAAAATCAGCACATTACATTAGGTCAGTCGATGGGAATTCTCACCGTATAATTTCAAGTCTATGATGGGTGCAACCACTGATCCACATTTAAAGAGCTTTTCATCTGATTTTAAGATCATTGATGCAATATAGCCACCATAACCCTGGCAAAAAAGAAAAAAAGAATTATAACAATTATTCTGAAAGGTATTTTTACCTTTGATCCCTATTTGATAATTGACCTCTCAGAAAGTGTCATAATGTCTCAATCTTGGAAAATTAATATAGTAAACTTACTCTGTGTGGGTAAGAATTTGAAATATTAACAATTTTTTTATAACAGACTGTTTAATAACCTTCAGTAAAATATGAAAATCACTATATTCTACCAAATACCAAATATTTTCTCTATGATTTCATAATATATATGTGTGTGTGTGTGGGTGTGTGTGTGTGTAGGAACTAACCCAAATAACTTGAAGCTAAAAAAATAAAGCATTTCTCAAATTATGTATCATTTTAAGAAAAGTTTGATCACATGTATAGATTCTGCTTTCAATTTCAGATATGCCTAAGAATATACCATCCCAAAATATGACTATGAGAAACTTGACTATGTGATCCAAATATATCTCTCTAGTATAAGGATTATTTTGAGCTAGTTACTTTGAGAAATGGCAGGCATAGAAGCAGTTCTATAAACTATGTACCTTTTTGTAAGAGAAATTTACATTTGTTAAGGAAACCCATTTGTGTAAGAGTCACCCTCTTTGCATCAGGAAAATATGATTAAATCACTAGAGACTCTTGCCAAACAATAAGTAACAGATTTAAATTTGCCAAACAAGCTCACTTTAGTTTTATAATGTTTTCCCTGGCTGTTGTTGGGTCCTTCTCCACTCCTTCCTTCTTTTATTTCAGAGATTTTTATGTAAACCTGAAATCTTGGACAATTCTTTGAGATCTGTTCTAGAAATTTACTTGTTTCTCTGGATTATTTTCTATATATAGAGGAGGGACTCCTGTTATTAAACTTGGGTTTGTTTTCATCTTACTAATCTGTCTTGTTTTATAGTGTATCTAGCAAGACCAGCAGATGGCATAATGGTTATGTCACTGGACTCCCATGTAGTCAACTACGGTTTGAGTCCCAGACCCAGTGGTTTTAAAGTCATGCCAGGCGCATGTGTGTGTATGCCCAAAATCCCAAGAGGAGGAGGATGGAGGAGAAGAGACAGTGATGTGGTCTTTCCCCCCAGAGTGATTTCCCACTTTTTGTCCCTCTGTCTCTCTGGCGAGTGCTTGCACCCTATACCAAAAATCTCTATTTTATTATGCTGGAGGGGATGCTGTGAAAGGGGAACTCTAATACATTGTTGGTGGGAATGTAAATTGGTCCAGCCGCTGTGGAGAACAATATGGAGGTTCCTCCAGGACTTTCAAATAGAACTAGCATATGATTCAGTAATTCCACTCCTGGATATCTACCCAAAGGACAAAAGAATGCTCAGTCAGAAAAGTGCTTGCACAACTATATTTATTGCAGCCTTATTCATGATTGCTAAGACATGGAGCCAACCCAAATGTCCACAAACAAATGAATGGATTGGAAAAGTGTGGCACGTCTACACCATGGAATAGTATTCAGCCATAAAAAAACAACAAGGCCCTGGTATTTGATATAAGGTGGATGAACATGGAAGATCTATTGTTGAGTGAAGGAAGTCAGACTATGACATAGAGACATTGTATGTCTCACTTAACATATACTGACTGTCTACACTCCATGGTAGAGACTGAAAGATTGTTTAAAAACCAATTTAAAAATTTATGATCTTTAAAAACTTTAAACATTGTTATGGACACTGGGGACAAAGTGGAAGGAGAGTGGGAGAGGGAAGAGTGGAGGAGAGGAAATTTGGGAAAATATGGAACAGTAAGACATTTGTGTTACACAGATACTGTTTGTTGCCTGTTGGTGATGTCGTGTGTAATAGTCTCAATTCATCTGCTGTGTCACATATGTTTCCGGATAAAATCTCTTTACAAACTAAATGATGTATAATGACTGAAAGTATAAAAATAATAAATAATACTAATTTTATATCTCTATCTCTATCTATCTATCTATCTATCTATCTATCTATCTATCTATCTAGAGAGAATGTCCTTAGTTAAGAACTCATGAAGTGTGTAGGAACAAATTATTTTTCCTTCCCTACATTATTTCACAGGACTAAGTATTGGAAGTACACTGAATTTAATGAATAATGTTACTGCTCAGATGAGCTGAAGAAAATATCCTTTGAAATGTCTTTAAACTAACAATAAATTTTAAAAAATAAATCCAGGTCTCCAATTGTCTTTGGTAGCTCATCATCTGACCAGAAAATTTCCAAAAGATCTAGATGGTGGTATAGCAGTAAAGTTTGATATTCTGTAAGGCAATTCCATATGAAGTTTCTAGTTCAAGTTCAGTGGTCCTCCTGAGTATGCCAGGTTCCCACTTTCCAAAGACTGGGGTTGGCTGAAGGCTTAGGTTAGATCACAGTACCAAAACCAAAGGAGAATTTACCAGTCACAGTAATGTTGGACTAAGGAATTGATCTATTGAATTATTCATCTTAGAAATTAATTTGCAGTGTCCAGCAAGTGACATAGTGGTTAAGGTACTAGACTCCCACATGATTGATTGCAGTTCATTTCCCAGACCTGGTGGCTTGGGAATCATGCTAGGGACATGTGTGTACATGTCAGAATCCCTAGAGGGGAATGGAGTAGAAAGGATCTCAGTGTAACCATTCCCCCTTTTTCTCTCTCTCTGTCTTTCTCTATGTCTTCAGCGAGTGCACATACCCTAAAATTTCTCTGCCTAAAAAGGAAGAAAGGAAGAAAGAAATTTATAATGAGCTAGCCAGGTGATGTGGTGGTTGATATGACTGGAGCCCACATGCATGACAGCATGGGTCAGATCTCAGACCTGGTGGCTTGGAAAACACACTGGATATGCCTGTATATGTATGGCCCTAAATCTAAGAGGAGAATGGAAGAGAAGGAGCTTGTAGCGTGGCTATCTGCTGGAGGAGAAGCCTGTGGGTAAGGATGGGTTTGTTTCCTCATTTTCCTTTTCTCTCTCTTTCTCTGTCTTGCTCTGGCAAGTGCATGTACCCAATAGCAAAAGAAAGAAAGAAAAAAGAAATTTAACTATACTCTGTATAATGTTTTATATATTCTACTGGACATCAGAGTATATTTTAAGGTATTAAAAAACTAGTTATACCAGGCCTTAACCTCAGGAATTCTTATGTAATTGGTTCATGATGAGAGGTCTACTTTGGAAAGATATTTGAATTAGTCAAGTGTGATTCAGTTTTATAGAGATCTGTCATTGTCACTGAACTCTTGAAAAGGGAAATATAGAAGTACATTGTATTTTCAGGAACATCATTTAAAATTTGGCACAAAAAAATTCATAATGCAATCTGACATTACTGAAATGCCTGAGATAACATGTCAAGAACATTATTTTATATGTGTGTGTAGAGGTTTTTTTATTTATTTTATTTTTTATTTATTTATTTTTTTTGCTTTAGGGAGCATGTGATCACTAAGTAGAGAAAGACATACAGAGACAGTGAGAAGGAAAGTGAGAGATCATCCCTCCAGGTGGGATGGCCCTGCCACAATCCCTTCTCCTCCATTGTCCTACTGGGCTCCTAGGCATACATGCACATGAGCCCAACATGAGTTTCAAGCCACCAAGTCTGGGACTTGAACCGTGGTCTGCCATGTGGGAGTCCCTCAACACAACCACTATGCCATCTGCAGGCCTCTCAAGAAACATTCTTAACTTGTAAATTCATTCAAATTACTTGAGATTATTGTAAAATACAGATAAGCAGATATAGGGTGTGGTCTAAGATTCTGCATTTTTAACAAAGTCTTAGGAGACCCTATGCTGCTGATTCATACTTTGTACATAACAAGTTCTTACAGCATAGTCATATAATAAAGACGACTTCCAGAAACACCTTCATAGTTCCAGCCAACATTCCCTACATAAATAGAGCTTTAAAAAATAAATAAATAAAACACCAATGCCCTCAAAACAATTCACTCACTCTATGGGGAATGCACACCTATAGGAGCTCTCCCCACAATTCTGTGATAAAACTGGGGCTGGAAATCCTTAGTACTGCAAAAGGAGTTTTATTTTACTATCTTGGTTTACATAAAAATTTAGGATTTAATGAAGCTGAATACTCTAAGATTTAATGATAGTGAAAGCTGTTGAACAAAATTCTCTCTATAATACTTAAAAATCAAATCTTAAATGCTGCTTTAATTTGATTTACTTTAGAAGAAATAACTTCTATTTTTAGAAGAAATCAAACCTGGCAGGAATTAGAATAAATTAAATTTTGATTTCTCACCTTCTTATCTCAATCATTTTATATTTATTCACTGAATTTAAGAGTAGATCACTAAAGAGTTCTTAGAAAATATGTTCCAGATGAGGGCAAGAATCGTATATAAGCTCTAGCTAGACAGAAGGATGGTGGTTATAATTTTCAAAACCACTCATATCATCAGGTAGATTATAAAATTGGGGATCATCATGTTGACTTTACGGTAACTTGGAGGCTATTTTTGTTCTGATTCAGATTTTAAAATATTAACAAATTCAATACTCAGTCCAGGCTGACTAGGCTTGTGATTTAAACAGTGGCCACCACATGGGATCCAGCTTTTCCTCAGCCGTGCATTACTGCTGCACCTTCGAGCCACCTCACATTTCTCCACCCTTTACCATTGTTTTGTCATTTCTATCTCCAAGTATTTTAACATCACTTATGAAATTTTAATAAATTTACATTATTACATTTTTTTTAAAAAAAAATGTTCATTCAGTGGACCTAAAAATTAGGAATGTTTCCCAAGAATTTTTCTCCTTAAAAAAAAGTATACTGTTGGGGCCAGCAGGTGGCATGTTGGTTGAGGGTGCTGAACTCCCACATGACCAACCCTGGTTCAAGTCCCAGACCTGGCGGCTTGCTTTCTCGCTCATTCTCACTCCTCTCTCTCACTCTATCACTCTCTTTCTCTTACTCTGTTCCTCTCTGGTGTAACTGAAGGAAAGAAAGAAAGAAAGAAAGAAAGAAAG